AGGGTTTTAGGGATTTAGGGTTCAAGGATTTAGGGTTTAGGGATTTAGGTTTTAGGGTTCAGTGTATAGGAATTCAGGATTTAGGGTTTCGGGTTCAAGGTTTGAGATTTAGGGTTCAGGGCTTAGTGCGCGCCTGGTTCTTGAAAGCCACGTAGCTCAAGAGATGTTCCAAATGTCTCTGCTCCGCAGCATGTGTGGGCTCCTAACTGTGGGATTACATTTCTGAGCAAACAATCCAAATTTAGGTTTAGGGTTTAGGGTTTGAGGGTGTAGAGTATAGGCTGATATAGCGATATACACAGGAATGAGGAATAATGGAGCATCACAGGGAAAATGAACAAAAAAAATGAGACTCTCTACGGGCTTATGGGACGAGTGAGCATATACCTGGAAAAAGAAGACTGCTCACAACTTGCTTTGAAAAGAAACAATGAGGCACCAAACGCCTTCAAATCAAAGACACACTGCCATTCATCGAAACTTGGTGTCTCAGTTGCGTGTTACCTATAATGCAATGCCACCTCAAATAATACAAGAAGTCTTTCTCATGATAATAACTCCGTGTAATGATGGTCTTGGAGTCTTGAAAAGCAAGCCTGCGCATCCCTGGCTTTGTGGTTTAGCCCCTTTCGAAGCTGAAATGCTCAAAACTGGTTACAACCCAGAACCCAGAAATCAGCATGAAGCTCACAAAGCCGCAGGAACAAGCAAACGGCAGTCTTTTGGCCCAATTCGAATGGGCGTTTCCCAAAATTAGGGGTACCATTCTGAGGGTCCCCATAATAAGGATTATAGTATTGTCTTTATTGGGATCCCCCCTACTGTTGGAAACTACCAACTTTCAACAGACCGCACCTCCCCCCCTCCGATTAGGATGGTTGGCAGTCTTCCCGAAACAGGGACTCTTTGCATAGAAGCCCCCGTCATCTGGGACAGATAGACTCTGGGGCCCGACAAAAATGAATGCTTTCTGGATTGATAATAGTCCAGAATATTTCAAAAAACACGTTCCCAAGAAAACTCATCAGGGAAGACCCCAACTTTGACGAACCACCGACTCCGTGTCAGTCCTCGCTCTCAACCGGCCTATGGTGTCTATTCACGTCGGCCTCCGCTTCAAGAGGGCTACAACCAGGACTCTTGGCTCATGAGGTATTCGGTGCCACAGGGTACAGGGCTTATGGATTCATAGCTGGGACTCTGGCTTCATCAAGTGTATGTGGGGATATTATGGTACCCAATATGGGGTTTAGGGCCCTATAATGGAGAATCAAATGGAAAAGAAAATGGAAAATAAAATCGAAACTGGGATTATATAGGTGGATGTATTGAAGAAAATCCCGAAGGAAAGAAACCTGATTCTTGAAACACGCCAGGCCTCTGTGAAGCGTAGTACAGTAGTACCCTAGACTCATAGACCTGTAGAGTAGTGGAGCAGTGGGTGCCTGGGCTGCCCTATCCGGTCTGGCAGTGTCCACATCTTAGGGACAAGCGTGTCTTGGAGGGTCAGGGGGCTTAGTAAGTAGCTTAATGACCCTATAAACCATATGAGCTATAGCCTCCACTCCTACTATCCCCTTTACTACTCCCCTCGAATACTCCCGTATACAATCTTCTCTAGCCAGCTTAGACTACAGCTCATATAATGACCCCATTTATCCCCATTATTAACCTACGTACCACTATACGTCCCCCTGACCCTCCAAGAAGACGGCTAAAACCCTAAACCCTCAACCCTAAACCCTAAACCCTAAAAGCATGGGGTGCACTTCTCAGAGGTTGGCTGTGCAGTTTGGCAAGGCCAGGATTGATTTGGGGGGCCCTATAAAAAATCGATGCTTTTATAACTAAGGAAGATTTACCCTAAGGATCCAAGGACCCAAATAATGAGGTTTCAGGGCCCAAATACCATAATATCAATGGTATTTGGGCACTAAAACCGTATTATTTGGGTCCTTGGACCCTTAGGGATAGCAACTAGCAATTATCTTCAAATCATCCCTGAGGATGCTTACAGCAGGGCAAACATGGGCGTCTGATGACCTTGACCCAGGTGTGGGGTTTAGGGTTTAGGGTTTAAGGTTTGCACAAGAATTATCATTACATGTGGAAGTTTGAACAGGCCAAATCTTTTGAAACCTCTGCTCTGCAGCCGCAAGGCAAAGTAAACGACTATGTTACATGCATCTCCTAAGTCCAGATGCGTAAGCCTGACTATAATGTTGGGGTTTATAGGGTTTTGGGTTTAACAATGGCCCTTTGCAATCTACTGTCCATCTCAGTGGGAGCTCTAGTGACTCTAGTGGGCTCCCGGCTAGTTTGGGGAGAGTAACAGAGTGTAGAAGAGCCGGGCATGTTGTACAGGAACTGAAGCTCAGTAACTCAGATCAGATAGGCCTTTGTACCTGCAGTCTCGCCAAAATGTGAACCAGTCCATATGCTGTAGAGTTGAAATGCCGCGCTTGGCTTTGAAACGTCAACTTTGAAAGCAGGTCCATACTCATACTATCACCAGAACTGTAAATAAAAGCCCAGACGAAAAAACACTCCGAAAGGATGGCATCAGGAACATCAAGTAATGATCCAACAAAAGTCTACACTAAAAAAAGTGCTCAAGTCTGCAAGCCACCGCAACACAAACCAAATGCAGCTCCTCAAGCTGACAATGCTGGCTTTCGTTTCTATCCTCCCCCAAATTACCATGGAACCTGAAAAGGGCGCCCTTTGTACACTAACGTCCCTTCAAAGGGGGCCACATGGGGCTGCTTGGGGAGGGTATCTTGGACAACGAGTTGGGCCTTTGGAATGGCCTCAGGAGCTGGCTCCTTCGTGCTGACCTGAGAGGGAGGTAACTGCTTGCATGGCCAGGGAGGACGAATCTCCTCCACCTAACCCAGAGGGTCCAAGTATCCAATATTTAGGTACCTGGGTTTGAGATAATAGGAATTACAGTACAGGTTTTGGTTAAGTAGATGATTATTAGGTGCTTGGACCCTTAGGATAATAACAACCTCACGCAAGCTTCGAATTACAAACCCCCTCAAAACCTGGACCCTACATCTGATAGCAGCTTCCATTCGCCTTTCCAGTCCCTCACTTTCCCTGGAGTATCACTAAGTGTACTATAGTCTAAGCTCCTTACATGGGGCTATATGGTGGACTACATAGGGGACTTTTATAGAGGTTGTTAAGGGGGATACCGGGAGTTTAGACTGCAGCTCAAGTGACGGCTGACTGAGGCTTCGCTTCGCTAAGAGACCTCCAAGAATTCTGTCTGGGATGAAGCCAGGTGAGTAGCGATTTGTTGGTGGGTCAAACCAGTAAGATTACATTCTTTACATAATATCCTACACCAATCCCCAAAAGAGGATATAATCTTTGTTCTACACTGAGTACCCTAGTACCCCGAAACAAAATACTACTCAGGTAAATGTTGCCTCAACATGCGACTGCTTATATGCTATGAAAATTGAGATGCCACCCAACCCAGCGTTTAGGGCTTGGGGCCCACTTCCCCTCAAGCCACATGTGGTGTGCAGAACTGTTCCGACAAGCTTTTACCCGCGTGCTCGACTGCCGTCTCTGCAAGCTGGCACTCTTCGCACAAAGCTTCGTGCATGTTGAAGATTTTGGGCCCCACAGGCAGAAAGGAGTTGAAATTCAGCCCAGGCATAACGCCAGAACTCTATGTCAACCTTAAAAATGGGGCTTTGGGATGGACATTTCCGCAACATGCTCACAAGCTCCTGGTGTACAGATTCAATGCGGATAGGCACCCGCTCATGCTTCTGTCTCTGCTTCCACTAGAGACAAAGCCAAAGCTGCGGCGGTGCGAATCTGATCCTGGGCACTGCCGGGTAGCAACTACTACTCGAAGGGTCCAAGGACTCAGAACAAGGAGCGTTGAGGCCAACATACTGTAATCTGAATGGCATTTGGGACCTGAAGTTCTGATTTGGGTCCTTGGACCTTTAGGGCTGAAAATGGACTACACCCATGTTTTGCACGGTCTGATGCTTCGCAGTTAGTTCCAACCTCGGAACTTGAGAGCAATGCCAAGGCACTGTCCTAGAGATTGGCAGCGCCTTCCTGTCGTACCACCTCCTGCAGAAGTCCCCAATGTCCTGATTGTGCCGTTGGACTACTATGATGGTGGAGCTTCGGCTATCTTTTTAGCATATGTACGGGGAAGCTGTATGCAGGTTTAGGTCTCTAATCTGCTTAGCTGATCAGCGAAGCCAACAACAACTGAGAGAATGTCCAAGACTCTGCATTTGATGAGCCAGCACGTTTCATCTGTTGAATCTCTTGCAGTGGATATGGTCGGCCTGATCTCGGTGACACTATTCCGCAGATGAACGACGCACGTATGCTGCTACACCTGAGGTTCAAAGCACTACATCTACTATAACACAGAGATTATACGCATTTCCCTCTAAGCAGAGAGCCTGCCTCACAAACAGGAACGACACTAATAACGAAAGCCACCTGTCTTCATCACCTTCGGATGTAACATTGAACCAAGCCACACTCACTATCTGGCGCTTTTCAAAAGCTTGGCTAGAACCCTAAATCCTAAACTCAAAACCGTTAACTGTAAACCTTAACCTTAAACCTAAACCCTATAAATTAAAATAAAAACTAAGAACCCTAAAAGCCCCAAACTCAAAATCCTAAAGCCCTACAAACCCCAAACTCGACGCCCTAAGAACCCTATAAACCCTAAACACGTCCAGGTCCGCCTTGGCTAAAGTTCATGCCTTCCTTCCCGTCGCACGCCCGTTCCACAATCCTCTGGGCTGAGCATGAGGGTGGATTGGACAAGGGGCTGCCATATGAGCTATTATCTAAACTCCTTCAAGGGGCTATATAGGGGAGCATTATAGGGGTTATTAAGGGGGATACTAGGAGCTCAGACTATAGCCCATGTGAGCTCCGGTCAATATTTCCCACGTAGCTGATTGACATTGGTTCCTAGTAGGGAATATATATTAGGCACTGTACCAGACGACTAAACGGACTCCTATTTGCACCCTTGATGGTTATTCGGCATCTCTAATATTGACAGTAGCTCAGATTATGCTGAAACAAACATCAGGGATGAACAGCTAAGCACATTGAATCTGCAGAAAACAGCACACAACACATCCGCACAAAAGCTTTATGCTTTGACTTCCCAGCATCACACAAGCCACATCTAGCGCAAGGGTTGCGTCATGTCGCAGAAGTGCACAGACCCCATTCCTGGGGTCTATTTTTGCTGACTGACGCCAACTTGCTGTTTGCGACAGAGTCTTGAACACACGAAAAGGGATTTGCTTAATTCCGCTGGGACACTCTGCGCTGACGTAGTAGTCTGCTGCTGCACCTAAAAGCATCTGGGCTGAGGATTTGAACCTCCCAACTGCGTCCCATTCGAATCCATTCGCGGCAGCAGGATTTCATGATCTTTGATGTACACGAACACTGGAAGCCCGTAGGCAAGAAGTACGACATGTTCATTAAAGTAAACCCATCAAACTCATTCTAGCCAGAAACAAGAAGTCCCACGTTCACTGCTGTAAAACTCCCCCCCCTTCTCATCCCCTTCAACCCTCCGTGATAGAGGCCCAACCTGCGCCCGAAGACTTCAAGTGTGTGAGCCGGGACTGAGCTCCTTCATACCTGGGTGCGTGATTGTTTAGGCTCTGTTTTAGGGCTCTTTATTAGGAGGCCTCTGTTCATGTGGGGCAAATATGGGACTTGGCCTGAATTACAGTTTCCCAAATGGGTGACATTTCTATAAGTACCCTTGCTGTAATAGGAACAACGCTGAAGGGAAGTAGCATCATGAATGTTATACGGAAATCCCATATACCATAGTTCGGCATCAACTTCACCAAAAACACACACACAAGTAAGGGTTAGTATGGTGATCTGAATGATTGCAGGTTGCGTGTGCTGCATGCCCCAAGGCTGGCCATGTGGAATTCCGCTGTCTGCCGGGCAGGGTAACATGGTGATGGATCGTGCTTGACCTTGCTGCGCGAAGTGACCTTTGTGATCAGAGAAGAACGCATACATCTGTGCATCTGCAACTCAAGAAAAATGGTACTTGAAAGTGAAGTAGCTGTGAAAGGCAGACTCGATGGCCGCGAGCTTTTCAGTGTTGGCAGACGTTACCGCAACTTTGCAGGCAGGCATGAGCGATCCATCTTGGGTTGCAGCGGCCATGGGCTTGTAGGGATCTTACGGAAAAGTGGAGAATGCTTGACGATCACAAGTAGGTAAAAGTTCTCCACTGCAAGCAACGCTCCCCACTTCTTTTCTAATGACCCTAGTGACAGGCAACTCGATCAACTGCGGCTGAAGCACAGCACTTCAGCGGCAGAGGCCGTGATACCAGGGCTTATGGTTGAAAGCTTCATTGTTTTTTGGGTTGCTGAGCCATGGAACAGCGCTTTACATGATGAGAATTAAATTCGCTTATCTTTGGTTAGCTGGGAATGAAGGGATTGAAAAGAACATGGAAACTATCCTGGGCTATATAGGGACTACATAAGAGCCTATAAGGATCTATTCCTTCATTTCTAGCTAACCAAAAGTAAGTTTGGCAGCGCCTCAAACTCAGGGTCCCCATGCTGCCCTGCTCGAATGGCAACCAACTGGCAACTTGCAACAAGAAGCCTATCGGGTTGAGGGCTTAGGGTTTCGGGCTTAGGGTGTAATAGTAGGGATATACGGATAATGGAAAAGAAAATGGAGACTACTATAAGGATGGCTATATGGGGTTTAGGGTTTAGGACTCTGTTCCGCTGCAGCATTGAGCTTCCGACAGGGCCGCTCCGCCTGAGTTCGCATAAGATGAATAGGAACAGAATAATAATAACAATAATCATACTGATAATGATAATAGTAATAGTTAATAGTAGTAGAAATATTACTGAAAATGATGACAATCATACTAGTAGTAGTAATAAGAACTTCAATAATGAGAACAAGAAGAGGAATAAGTGTAGTACTAACAGACTAATAAGACTTGTCAAGATGCCTGACATAAGGATTGCAAGTCATTTGCGCCCAGAAAGCTGTTGGAGTCTCTCGGAAGCTGCCTGCTGTTAGCTGTGAGGATGCAGGTCTAGGGTTTTGGGGTAGGTACATCCAGACCTTAAACCCTGTAGTCCCCCTTCAGTAGATAGAATATGGGGTACATGGGGTTCTTATCATCATATACCCAGAGCAATATTCTATCTACTTAAGGGGGACTATAAACCCTAAACCCAAACATCACAGTGCCGAAATCCTGCAATAGAAGTTGCTCCCGCAGAAGCCCTTCCTGAAGCTGCACGTACGAAGGTTTAGGGTTTAGGGTTCTTTCTACTAAAGAGATTCTAGCTGAAAATTCGCACGGTACTGGGTAGATCAAGTGCAACGTATACAGAACAACAGTCTTTGTGCCCCTTTCTATGGGTTTCGGGCTTCAATTTTGCATACCTTTCAAGTCCATATAAGGATTGCGCTACGACTGTAAAACCCTAAACCCCGTATACACCTATATACATGTACAGATATTTTTATATCCTCAAGAAACCCTGTAAAGATACCCCTAATATCCTACCTACTTTTGAGGTCCAGAAAGCCCTAAACCCTAAACCCCCATATCCCAAAACCCTCAAACCCTAAAACCCTGAGCCCCGAAACCCCTAAACCCTAAACCCCAAGCCCCGAGACCCCAAAACCCAAAACCCTAAGCCCCGAAAACCCGGAAGCCCTACACCCTAAATAGTAGTTTCCATTCTATTTTCCATTAATTCAACATAACCCCTATATAACCCTTATATAACCCCTAAACCCCAAACCTTTTTTAGCTCCGGCACGGCTTGCGCGGCGGCCGGGTCGAGGTTTGCACTTCTACATTGACCTCTCCAAGAAACTAGGGTTTAAGGTTTAGGATTGGCTTTCTGGTGTATAGTCGGGAAAAAGGGGAAGAGAGAGAGAGAGAGAGAGATATACATAATATGTGTATGTCTACGTATATGTATGTATATATATGTATATGAATATAAATAAATAAATATATATATATTTATTTATGTGCAGTGTTTGGGGTTTAGGGTCTAGGGTTTAGGGTGTAATAAGGGAATATGTATATATATATATGTATCTATCTCGCTCTCTCTCTCTCTCTCTCTCTCTCTCTCTGTCACTCTCTCACTTTCTCACTCTCTCAGTCTCTCTCTCTCTCTCTCTGTATATTGGGTGATCAAAATTAAGCGTATCCTTTTGGGGGTCCTTATAACAAGGATTATCGTGTTTCGGGATCTATATTAGGGTCCCCCTACTTATGGAAACTACCATAAAGAGGTTTTACGGTATGGGGTGGAATGGTGGAATTAGGGAATATCATCCCCATAGAGGCCCACATAATCCCTATATGATATGTTTCGGGTTAAGGGGGTAAGGCGTTTAGGGTTGTTGCCTACCGACCACCAGTTAACCGAGAGATTCATGAAACCAATCTCACGAGCTGTTCGGATGAAGTAGGGCTTAGGTACTAAATTCTTCCTACCATTGACTACGACCATTAATTATATTATTAACTAATGCTAGTAGTATGAATATTACTATTGTCATTCTTATCTTGTCGTCATTACTCTCACTACTACTATAATTAGTATTCCCATTTATATTTAGGATAGGGTCATGGGGTTTAGAGGCCCCAAGCCCGCAATGATGAGAATGAAGGGAAAAAACCTTAGGGCTCATGCTGCCGGACTGTGACTGGATCGGCCTAGCGAAGCTCAGAATGGCTCTGGGAGTGGACGCGGTTCTTTAGGGTTTCGCGTTTAGGATTTAGGGTATGAATTCCTGGGCTACACACTATTTTCTGTCACTTGCCTGCTACCGGATGAAGACCTCCACCGGCTACAAATCATTCAAGAAAAACGTAACACTAAATCCTAAATCCTTAACCCTAAACCCCAAACCCTAGACCTTAAAGCCCTTGTTTTCAGGGCTGGCCACCTTCATGTCTGCCTCAGTCGTGAAAGCCGGAAGCCCTACCCACACCCCCCAAAGGATCTAAAGAATAAATCCCCTAAAAAACCATAGGGGAAATCAAATAAGGATTATATAGGGGTTATAATGGGTCTATATAGAGGATCTAATTTTTAGATCCTCCCAGGGGTCTGGGTATGGCAATGACGTGGAGGGTTTGTCGCTACAAGAAGCCTTGGCCAACAAAACACACACGCTGCAGCTGCAAACCCTAAACCCCTAAACCCTAGGCCCCTTAGCCCCCAAACCCCTAAACCGGGTTTAGGGGTTTGGGGTTTGACGATCTAGGGTTTCGGGTTCAGGGCTCAAGGTTCGGGGAATTGGCTTTAGGGTATACTTCAAACACCTTGTTCAAGCAAGATGCTTCTGGAAAAAGGAAATCTACAAGCAGTTGGGCTTTACAGATAGCAAGTGATCTGTCATGAACATCACCACGCTCTAAGCAACACAACATCACAAAAGTACCCCGGGACCCCAAACAAAAATCACAACTCCAAACGTTTGTTCCTGCACATGAGGCTACTTTCTAATGCAAGCGTACATTTCACCTTCCAATTTCTTGTCCACGTGATTTCCCATTATTGGGGAAGTATCCCTAAACCCTACTTTAACTAACCACCTTATAACGGCAGTTTCCAGCGCATTCTCGATTTTCTTTTCCATTCGATTCTCCATTGAGCATTGTTGGGGTAATATTCCTAAACCCTATAAACGCTAAACCATAAACCCCACCTACTCCCCATTATAGTAGTTTCCATTTTCTTTTCCATTATCCTTACATCCCCTAAACCCTAAAACCCCTAAACCCCTAAACCCCTAAACCCTAAACCCCTAAACCCCTAAACCCCTAAAGCCAAGCGTGGGCCTCCTGAAGATGCAAAGACTGCAGCTCAGCCGGAGGAGCCTTGCCAGGAGCCTGTCGGCTGTTGGGGTTTAGGGGTTTAGGGGTTAGGGGTTTAAGGTTTTAAGGGTTTAGGGGGGGTTTAAGGGTTTAGGGATTTAGGGTTTTAGGGGTTTAGGGGTTTGGGTTTTAGGGTTTTAGGGGTTTAGGGGTTTGGGTTTTAGGGTTTTAGGCGTTTAGGGGTTTAGGGATTTAGGGTTTAGGGGTTTAGGCTTTAGGGGGTTAGGGGTTTAGGGATTTAGGGTTCAGGGCTCATGAAGCGACATATTTAAATGAGAGGTAGATGGAGCAACGATTCGAACACAGCAAAGTTCATGGAGCAATTAGCCAGTCCGCTTGAAACTTGAACTTCTGTCGAGGACTGTGTATTGTAAAGTCAGCCTTTGATGATCAAGCCTAGAGTGTGTAAGGCTTGAACTATGGGCCCCTAGTATGGGCCCTTGTTCCTGGGGTCCTGATGTACCTATGATACACCCTATAAAGCCGAACAAGCTCAACTAGTTAGGACCAAGGAAACACTAGGGGACCCTAAGCCCTAAACCCCTAAACCCTAAACCCTTCCAGTTTGATGTGCTTAAGGCAACTGTGGGCCTCAGGGCAACCTGAGTGCTTACACTAGGGCCTAGGGTTTAGGGTCTATAGGATTTAGGGTCTGTAGGGTTTAAGGGCGAGGGTTTAGGGTATGATTCCACCATAGTACAATTAGGTGGCTTTTGGTATGGGGAAAATGGACTAGATTTAAAGAACATTTTTGGGGAACCAACCCTGATAACAGAGATACTCAATACATTCCAGCTCTTTTGTAATCGAGTTCCAGGAGCCCCAATCATTCTTTTAATCTGGCACCCTCCATTTCTTATTCTAGGCCCAGGGGTCCCCCCCAAATTGTTCTAGTGCTCGGACTAAACCCTAAACCCCAAACACTACTACAGACCCTAAACCCTATAGACCCTAAACCCTAAAGCCTCGATGTAGTGGGCATGCCGAGCTGTCTAGGCCTCTCCCTAGATGGGCTGAACACTCGTTTCCGGAATCCATCAGTCAGATGCCCTTCTGCAGTTCTTTATTATGAGTACTACAAACTCATTACTAGATAACTATTATGATCAATACTACTTATTGTTACTATGCTGGCTACTATTATCGCGACTATTATTTTCACTACCATTATTTTCCCTTCGTCCAGCTTCGGAAACAGCCGCTGTGTACCGACCAGGCGGATGACCCACGACAGGCTTCTAAAACC